CATTTCTTTATGATGATGCACAAATTCCTTTTGACTTGTATATGTTTGAGTAAAGATAAAGCTTCAGTCAACTTCAGTGTACGCATGATTTGATCGTTTCGTAAGAGACCATATATCTATTATATGGTCTCTGGTTTCATACATGTATCTAAACAGTTTTTAACCAGGGCTACAGTTAAACTATTCCCAATTAGACATTGTGTTCCCAACTTTTGAGACCTACAGTGGGTACCCTGGTAGGGTTGGGTAATCGGGAATTGGGTACCCGGGTAGTAAATTTGGACTCGTCCCAGCCCTAAAATGTCTGATATGTTTGGTTCTTGTAGACAGGACATCATACACTAGTCAACCTAGCCAAATATAGGAATCATCTGGAAATGGTGTCCAATTATGTTATTTGGCTAGAAACTGACACCCTTTGGATCCTTTGCTCAGCATTCTGGTCACAGGCCTGGGAATAATTGGACAATTTGAAAGTATAGATGTTCTGTCCCCGTGATGTTTAGCCCTGGTCTGAGAGTCTGGGCAACGTGTAATCCTCAGCGCTACATGCCAGTCACTCTCATTGATCTGTTTGTCATGGAATGCATCAATAACAGGCAGCCACGGGCGGTGGTTGTCGGTGGCGCATTGTCTTCCGCCATTGGTGTCCGAGTCAGCAGCAAGCAGGCAGGTGAGGAGAAACCAGAGGGACATCTTGGCCGCTGGAGACAAACTATCTGATAAGAGGAACAAGTCTCTGATGAGGATGGTATTGATGTCTCCAAGAGATGGCTGTGATTTTGTAAAGGCGTTGCAACATCAATATGAATTTAATTAAAGACTGCTGGTTTCAGGATTTGGCTTGATGATAGATAGTCAGATTCAGTGTGTTCTGCATCAATTAGAAATAAGAAATGCAATTGTGTGAAAATGATAAATGTTGACAGTGGTTTGATGATGTCATAGTTATCTTAATTTTGTTTACATTTGTCCTTGTCAAAACTACTCATCGTAGCAACAGGCAAATATGAAGCTAAAGCAAATCCTCCATGTATGCTCAGAGCAGTGTCAGACAAGGGAAATTTGTATTTAACTTTTTAGAACTGTCTTTTTAAACCTTGTCCGCAACTTTATTTTAGGGACAATGTGTTAGTCTGGTTGTTTGTTTGTTGTTTAACGCTGCACTCAGCATGATTCCAGCTATATGACAGCGGCCTGTAAATAATTGAGTCTGGACCAGACAATCCAGTGATTGACATGAGCATCAATCCACACAATTGGGGTCAAGGACATCCATCAACCAAGTCAGCAAGCCTGACCACTAGATCCCGTTAGTCGGTTCTTACGACAAGCATAGTCGCCTTTTACGGCAAGCATGGGTTGCTTAAGACCTATTCTACCCCGGATCTTCACTGGTCTAGTCTGGTACTAATATCGAGTAGACTCGTGAAGATCCAGGGTAGAATAGGTCTTCAGCAACCCATGCTTGCCGTAAAAGGCGACTAACAGGATCTGCTGGTCAGGCTCGCTGACTTGGTTGATGCATGTCATTGATCCCAATTACGTGGATCGATGCTCATGATATCAATCACTGGATTGTCTGGTCCAGACTCGATTATTTACAGACCGCTGTCATATAGCTGGAATATTGCTGAGTGCGGCGTTAAACAACAAACAAACAAACAAACTAATATCCAGTCAAGGTTGAGATCTTGTAGCTACTGCTGAGTATGAATTTCTTGACAGTTTTCATTAACTGCTGTATTGAGTTACAGAGTTAGCAGAGCAGACTTTAAATGACAAATTCGTCAACATATGGTTTGAATAATATTGGCAGAATCTCGGCTTAAGGGGGAGTTTTCTCACCAAGAGATAGGGAAGATGTGGAAATCGTTTTGCAGGAAAAAACTGAATACCTTTAAATGCTGCCAATGTGACCTTTAGTTTTGATAGATTGGTGTAGAAGTCATTCCCCTTGACAGATACAGAAATGTTCGCATGGTGACTTTCTTGGGGCAACAGCCAAGGAGATGATTGCTTGGAAATGATAGCTTAGACTCATTGGCAATATTGAAATGGTAGAGGGAAGATTTGTTTTCAATCTGTCATGACATCAATGGAGGGGAGATGGGCAGAGAGGTAAACCAATCTGGCAGACCATGAACAGGAGGAAGTCAGACTTGAATAATCCATCTGGTTCATGTGGAAATGAAAGATCTGGGTGGGATATCCCTGTTTATTGTGGCAGCATCAGTGTGACCAGGTTGAAGTTTGGGGACAATTGTCATTGTGTTTCATACAGTCCATTACCATGAGCGCCTTGCTTGGAGATTAGGTCTCCTGCCCCGCATCTTGTAATTACACGCCGGACCCGCCTGATTCAGACACGTTTGTGGTGGACAAGAATCGAGCCTTTAGGTGGATGGCATCAGCTACAACACCGTCAAGGAAGTCGTCTAAGAGTTTCCGTGCTTCAGAACTTTAGGTTAAGCTCTCCTGTTGAGTTCCCGTGTACGTAGACATTTCTCTGACTTGAGCACTTACGGTAATTGAATCCATTGACCTGAAGTGATAAAATTGCTTCTAAACAAATTAGTACCAGTTTGGAGATGTAGAAACTGGGGGTTTGTTTCCATAGTGTGTGATCATGAAGCGACGGTACAACCTTGTTATCGCAAGTTTTGTCTCGGTACTTCAGTTAAGACTAATCAAGGTGTTATCTGTTTATATGGCTGAAAGTTAGTGATGACGACGAGATCAGTGAGAACAACATGAGGTTTCAGTTTCGCACAAGTAATGACTGTGGGGCAGTGATTGAGTGTTGTTTGATGCTGCAGTTGGCAATATTCCAGGTATGTTTTGGCTGCCTGGAAATACATTGTAAATATTCTTGTCTGGGTCAGGCACACCAGTGGTTGATAGCACGAGCAATTAACCTGTCAGTGTACAATGTTGCTATCAGCTTGGTCACATGTCATTCCACGCAACGCCACGCCACGCCACGCCACGCTCACACCACACACCGAGCTCTGAGTTGGTTTGGGTAGCTGGTCATATGTACCTAAATGATACTAAGTGTTATGGCAAACATCACATGTTTATGGTATAGAGATGATAGTGTCGGTGAAGTAGAATTGGAGTGTTTGTTAAGGACTCCATACATGAATCCAGGTTTATCAGCGCCATGATGCACACAGAAGACATGCATTGTGGAGAATATGATCCTAGATTGCCCCCAAAACCTGTTGATATTTGAGAATTTGGGATTCAGGCTGAGTGTGAGCAAGTATGGTTTTACGCCGCTTTTACCAGTATTTCAGCAATATCATGGTGGGGGACACCACAAATGGGCTTCACACATTGTACCCATGTTGGGAATCGAACCCGGGTCTTCGGCATGACGAGCAAACGCTTTAACCACTAGGCTACCTGACCGCCCCTGGGCTGAGAAATGGCCCCCAGCAAGCTATGCTTGTTGTTGGAGGCGACTTAATGTTTTGGGTGGTCAGACTTGGTGGCTTGATTGGTTTTTATTCTCTGATGGAGTGGGACATTCACAATATCAATCACTGGATTTTCTGGTCTAAACTAAATTATTTACGGGACACAGACACATACACAGCTGGAATAATGCTGTGTGTGGCATCAAACAACAATCAACAAAACAGAACTGACAATATCAATACAACTACCAGTATTCTGACTATGTAAGCAGTGTCCTAGGAGCCTGAGACAAAATGCACAGTCGGAGTCATTGTGTGAGAGTGGCACTGCCACCTGTAACAGTAGTCTACGTGGCTCTGCATTGAAAGCCAAATAACAGTCAACAATATCTGGATCTTCCCTGGCATGCATGGTGCAATCTTGTCACAATGCATCTACACATCTTCACTTCACCTTTATATACCAGTGGAAAGGTTTAGATTCCTCTACTGAAGTTGACCATGGACCCCATACCACATTGCAAATTTCTATCTTAAAAGGAATGTACATGAAATTGAAAATTACAATTATGAAAACATATCACAGTATTCCACCCATGAAGATCCAAGTTAGAATAGGTCTTCAGCAACCCAAGCTCAAGCGACTATGCTTGTCGTAAGACTAACGGGATCGGGTGGTCAGACTCGCTGACTTGGTTACTGCACGTCATCATATCCAAATTGCGTAGACCAATGCTCTTGGTGTCAATCACTGGATTGTCCGGTTATCACTTTTTAGAAGTCACTGTTGTGTACTCAAACACCTTCCTGCACTTTATCAGGATGCAGTGATTTGTAGAATTAGTATTTTAGTGCCATACAATGTTTTTGAACCCAATATGTTATACTTGAAAGAAGCTGTATATATTGAGATTATGATAATGGTCATGATAATGATCATGATCTCCACTGAAATATGACAAAGACACAACGCTGGCAGTATATATATCACATCACATGTATCCTGTCGCCTTTGTTTCAGACATGTATTGTAGCATGACCCATGTATCCTTGTGACTCCTGTCAGAACCCTTCCCACATACATAGGTTGCCAATATCCCTCTGAATCCATAGACCGTGGATTTTTTCCTATGTCAGCTGTCAGCTTTAGGTGTGTGGGTGATGGTGTATGTGATGTTCAAAAGTTTATCAGCCCAGATATATAAAAAAAATTATTCATTTGCATTAAGTGTATTTTGGACCAACATTTATTTTATTTCTCTTATAAGTTTGGGGGCACTCCCCTTTTCCCCAAAGTAGTCTGTCAGTTTAAAAGAAATAACATGCCCAATATTAAAATCATTTTCAGCTATAGTGAAACTCCTCTTCAGTATGATTTTCATTTGTTATAATTTAGGCACCTGCTGACAAAATTATGTTTCCCTCATAAATTTGTCAAATGCACCCCTGTGGTCAGTGATCAGTTGGATGTTGATCTTGTTGAAAATGAGATAACTTTTTGGACAATGAAAACTGAAAATTATCGTAACAAATCTGTCCTGTTTTCTATTCATGAACGTTTCTTCCTTGTTGCAGTCTGATTTCGGCCCCCTTGCCTCGCCGTCCCCGCTACCGTCACCGCTCCTGAAGAAGTGTCGTGATGACCTGCCATTCAGCATCCCTGGAAGCCTCCGGCGACTGCAGCGCACTTTGTCCGAAGATGCCAAACAACGGCGCCGAGAGAGCATGCCCTCAACACCAACCGGAACCCAGCCTATTTCCCACATGGGTCATAGTATGTGCTCTTTCTATTTCAATAAGGAGAACTGAAAAGCAAAAGTCTAAGAGATTACAAAAGGGGAAAAAAGAATATGTAAATTTATTCATTAAAATGACCTAATAGAATAGATATGGAGTGTGTATGCAGTGCATGGCGAAATTTGCTTGAAAAATTCCATACATATCTTACATGGGTCTTTTTGTGAAATCTTAGCTTTGGACAAGAATTAATTATCAGTCTCAACTTTGATATCTGATGAATCAGATGTCTTGATTGACAAACTGAAAACTAAAGGTTTGATAAATTGGTATAAAGCAGGGCCTGCCCAGCAATATTTTCACCTTGCCTTTTACATTTTATGAAATTATTTTTCATTAACACAACCATCCCCACAATTAAAGACTTATAGCTGCCATTTCCCTGACAAAGTCAGTCACATTTACTTTGACATTCGAACATCGGTAAAGAGTTGCTAATACCAAAATAATAAATGTTATTACCTTCCTATAAAAAATTGTTTCGAGGGTTGCTGCATAAACGTTTATTTCTTCAACAGAGCTATTTCCAAGTATGCCGTCTATTTATGATGTAAGCAACATGTATTTCGTTTTCATTACTGAGAACATACGAAATATAACATATTTTAGGTTCAAAATTATCCTGCATATTTTTATGAAAATGATTGAAGATGAATTGATATGACTGAAATATGTACTCGCCCGGTAGGACAAGCGTTTGTTCAGCTTTTCTCACTCTGCGTGTGCTGTCACTTGTCAATACGAGCAGGCGAGTGGATTTTTCAAACCCAGTAAAGTAGAGAACACTATCATAGCCTACACCCCATGTGTGTGCTCACCACATCAATGTGAGCGTAGCATCAGAGCATAAACAGATTGATGAGTCTGCCTTCTCTGCATTCTCACCTTCATCAAGACATTGATTTGTTGCACCTGAGTCAAATTCAGTGCAATTAGATGCTCTGCTTGATGGTGGTGTGTGGGATGCAAGCCAAGGCAGCCAGATCATGAACATCATTAAGTGTACTCTGTTTCACAGCAAACACATATGGATAATAGATACACGTTTGGTTACTGCGTGTCAGATTGGCTTTTTAACCTGAAGAATACTGATGGTAGAAAAGTAGATACAAAAATGTATCTGTTATAGATGATGATATTGGTTAATTCTTTTTTAAATGTTGGGATCCTTTTTTACCCTTGGGGTTGATAGGAGTAGAGTTCTTCTCATGTTGTTTTCTTCTCATTATGTTGATAGGTGAATATGGTTTTATGCCGCTTTTAGCAATATTCCAGCAATATCAAGGTGGGGGACACCAGAAATGGGCTTCCATCATTGTACCCATGTCAGGAATCGAACCTGGGTATTTGGCATAACGAGTGAAAACACACACACACACACACACACACACACACACACACACACACACACACACACACACACACACACACACACACACACACACACACACACACACATATATAATTCTCCACAACCCCATCCGCCACCCCTCCCCTCCCCTCCCCTCCCCTTCCTAGGTGGTAAACAGTACTTGCAGAACAACACTCCCCCACCCCTTCTCCATAATTCCCCTTCCCCTCTTGGTGGTAAACAGTACCTGCAGAACACATCACAACACTCTCCCCTTCCAGGGTTCGTCTACCCCAAAGTTCCCCAGACGAGGGAGGGGAAGGGTAGAACTGTTAGCTCTGGAACGAGTCCAGGTGTTTGGTGATGCAGGAGTACAACCAATACCTGCTGTAGCACCAGGCTGGTGTTTGCACCTCCAACTATTTGCTCTTTACTCAGTGTGCTGTACATGTGATACTCACAATGAAATAAGCCGCTATCAGGAGGGTTTTATGAGGCTCTAGAACCTCGCGATACATGTATTCGGTGCTGTAGGACAGGAACCATCAAATTACTTAGATTAGATTGAAATTTCTTGAGATGAGTGGCAATGGGTAATAGTGGTTGGGGTAACTTCAGTGTAAACTTGATATATGGGATAGTTCTTTGAGACAGAGTATTATGTAAAATACAGTGTATGCTGAACCACAAAATTAATGCATGCTGAGAATCAAGAGTTAGAGTTACCTACTTTTAAGAGATGATGCATACAGACAGAAACATGTACATATAATTTAGACTAACATCTAGTCCCTGAAATGAAAATATTTTACCAAGAAATAAACCCCAGTTAAATTATCTTAATGAAATATTATAAGGAGCTCAGAGACTGTTCAGTTTCAGGTGAAACTGCAGTGATCTAGACTTGCCAATTTTTATAGACTTGCATCATCAGGGCTGTATTGGATATGTTTGTTCCATGGTCTGTATGGCAAACTATGTATCATTCTAGAACTTCAAGAATGTTTATGAACAATGAGCAGCAAACTATCATTCTAACTGTAAGAACTCAGTCGGTATCATGTGTGTCTACCATTTGCATTCACTGCTGCGACATCTCCAGGATTGGCCACTGGGATAACGTGGACAAGTTCGGCTGCAGTTGTTGGCCTTTGGGGAACTTGATCCAGTAGAATTGAACTCACTTTCAGTGTGTGTGTGTGTGTGTGTGTGTGTGTGAGTGTTAATGTGTGTGCGTGCGGCGTGTTCGAATTTTACGTTTCTTTCGTGGTTCAGTATAGCTTGGGATTTAAATGGAGGTTATCTGAATCACAACATCAAATAGATAACCAGACATTCAAGATAACATCCTTTATGTTACTGATACTAATCAATGAATGTAATCTTTTACTATGATTATTTTCACCATCTGTATGAATGTAAATTCCTGTTACTGTTTAATCTTAATATCCCATATACTATTTCCCTATAGACAACGAAAATCACTCACTCATTCTATTCATCTCGATATGATTAAGCTATACTATATTTTTCAATAGAAAATAGCCATTATTAAATTGTATCTTATATTTTTTATCTGACGAAATATTTGGTTTTTTTCCAAAGTGATATTCATACATATTGATTTACAGAAACCCAAATGGATTCTGTAATGACTTGTTTTGTAACTATTCCATCACAATAGTTATTTGACTACCCTTGCAAATGCGTCCTCTGCTGCATCTGTTTGCCTTGTTATCTCGTCACATCAGGTTCCTGTTGTTATCCCAATGAGTTCAATGTGTGGGAGATGTGTATCTGGTCCAGTGTTATCTTACTTGTTGATTAATCTGGGACGAAAACAATCAGATGTGAACACGCTTAGAAAGGTTTCTCTATCTGGGCCCACTTGCACAAAGCGATCTTAGCGCTAAGATGATCGTAACTCCAATACTTTAACATAGGCTTACAATAGTCTTAGCGCTAAGATCCCTTTGTGCAAGTGGGCCCTGAAGGATGCAAGGCATTTTGTCTGTCGGAAGTGGGAGATATCTCATGGAGTAATTACACCCCACGCGGAAAGCATGTTTCCACCTCTGTTCCATAAATATCCACTGCTACAGGGGGTGATGCCTGTATCATTTACATCAAGCTCCTCATCAGACAATACTGTCAGAATATTTCACATCTTTCCTTTTTCATGCAATTTTTATTGCTAACTTTGTTATGAAAAGGGTGTGATGTGATCCTTTGCAAAAAAAAATCAAAATTTAAGTGACACATCTGACTTAATATTGGGTTGTCCTGTTTTTTGGTTATTTTTCATGAAGGTTGTATGTCAGTAGTTTTTTGTTTCTCAGTATATTTTCTTCCAGTTAAGATGGAGCTTGTCTTCTCAAATGAGTATGTGGGAAGTGTATCACCTAGTGGGTCATGCAGTGGGGATTCCTTGGTTAAAATAGTCCCTAGCAACCCATGCTGGTTGTAGGGGCGACCAGTGGATTGGGTGGTCAGACTCGGAGACTTGTTAGCTTGACAGCATGGATCATTGCTCAAAATGTCAATCACTAGATTTTCTGGTTCAGACAGGATTATTTACAGGCAGCTGTCATGTAGCTGGAATATTACCACTAGGCTGGGGTGTTGTGTTAAACAACAAAAAAACATTTGTTTGTCACCCAAAAGGTCTGGTTTGATTCCCACATGGGTTCAATGTGTCAAGCCGAGGTGGCCCCTGCTCTGAAGTAGTTGAATATTGCCAAAAGTGTGCAAAGCCATACTCACTCACACCAATGAGTAGGAAGAATTTTCTACTTAAGGAAATATTGGGCATGAAAGTGGCAATCGATATTTGTGAAACATATTATATATTCCCTGAGTATCAGTTAAAGAAAAGGATGGCGTCTCAGTGTGTCATATGCATGCTTCTGTTGTTAATTCATCTACCAGAGACTAGGACGCCATCTGTATTTCAGTGTAAAACACCTGGGTATTTATCCAACCTGTCATTAGCATTTACAATTTCCCTGTATTTCACAGGTGTGGGTGCCTTGATTGAGCCAACCAACTTACTGCGGATGAGGAACACTATCCTAGGGCAGTCTGCTCCTTCCCTCTGTGCCAGTGTGGTAAGTACATACAGCTTTATGCCACAGTGGATTCTGAGGCTGAGTCAGTGGTTACAGTGTCTGGTCAAGGTTATAGTATGTCATTGTTCTCTGAGAGCATGGATCATTGCTTACTGGTCTGCGGGGCCTGACTTAATTATTTACATGCTATACAGCATTAGAAATTGGCACTTGTTCTATAGTCCTTGCCAAACTGCCCAATAAAGGTATAAGGACCAGTAGAAATTTGCCCTTTTTAAGGGTTTTGTTATATGTTATTATAAGGACTAGCTGGAATATTGCTTGCTAAGTGAAACAATGTTGACACGTTTTTTGTGTTACATCTTTTGCTGTACATAATTGGTTGTGCAGGTGGCACAGGTGGCCCAGTCGTCTAAGATGCCGCAATTCACAGTGCAAAGTTGCGTCCCTTGGTCACACCAGGAACCTATGATCGTGGGTTCCAATGTTTTGCCACGCTTAGTTTCCAGGTTTGTCAGCACCATACCCGTGCTCATTGGTTTCACCAAAGTGGTAAACGTCTGAGACCTGCATCACTTTGGGCTTCCCACTTTAAGCTGACACGCTGTGATATAACTGGAATAATTTTCAAGGCGGCATTAAACCCATCTAACTCACTCACTGGTTGACCAAATGAATATGAACAATAGTGTGAGGAAACATCTACTTGAAGTATGAATAGACAATGCTTTGTAGTTCTTTCTTGAAATATTAACTCTAAATATATCTATAAAAAAAGAAGAAAAACAAGAATTACAGAACTGAAAGACATACATTTTGCCATCAAAGCTGACAGTCAAAATTAATTTAACAGAGCTGGAACCACATCTAATCATGATGAACAAGATATGCTCCCAATTCCAACTGTGTCTTCTTTTGTCTTCATATCCCATTACAGTATGGAAAGGGAATTACATACTTTGATTAGGTTCCATTTACACAGCAAAATATTCCAAAGTGCTTGGTATTCCTGCTGGCTCTGGGGTATATAGGCTGTCTTGAGCATACTCCATAAACTATACATGAGACTACAGAGCCTATTATCCTACCATGGCAGGCCCAGCTCCAGCAGGCTCTGGGGAAGGTGCTTTGGGAGTACTCAATGCTATATCCCACCTGGTACTTGTGAGGAAAGACTGATTGCTTAAAGCCTGCAATTGGTGAAGGAAATTGGAAACAGTATGTGATCGTAATACACAGTGACATGCCCATGTTTGTGTCTGGATACGATTGCCTTGGGTTGGCTCCATGTATGTGGAGAGTGAGTGAGGTTGCAGGGAAAAGTGCAGGCTGTTAGTTTGGGGAAGATTTTGTGTCACGAGCCATTTAAGCAGTACTCAAAGAAAAAGGATCCTGGGTCCTTGAAGCTTGCTCCTGTTTTTCAGACTTGATTAAATTGTAAACAAAAATATGTTAGGCCTGACAGGGACCCCTATAATGTGTGCTTTATTATAAACACTGTAAGGTTTCAGAGTTTCAGAATGGTTCATTTTCTAGGACATTGACTGATTTTCATCCAAAATGTCCTTAAAAAATTTAGTACAGCTGAATAAGCTATTAATATTTGCAAAAAATCATGAAAATGTCTTGATGACATTTCTTGAACACAATCCCATTCAAATTGGATCATTTCCATAGAAGGTCACGCCAGGTGAACGGCCCAATCAATACGTAGAATGTGTGTGTTCTTAAGCCAATCATGTCAGACTTCTAAAAAGATTCAGCTTCCTTTCTTTACTGCCTTGATTTAGAAATTTCGATCTCTGCCATAGAAAATCACCACAGAACACAAATGTACACTCCATAGTAACCTTTTGGGAGTAGATGCCATGATGCCCACAAATAACAGGATGTATTCATATGCATTTCCTCAATGAATTTCTGAATTTGCTTGCTCATACCGAGAGTTTAGAAGCCCGAAGTTATGTTGAATTAATAATATTCATCTCTGCCATTAAATCATCTGTTGTAAATTGCAATAAGTGTATATCATACTTAAAAAACTGCAGCCCTTGGCTGTTTCTGGTTGACGCTGGCAGAGGACCAGCAGTTGAGTCTACTAAACATGTGCTCTGTCCTGCCTGACTAATGGTGCTGTTGTGTTCATGATGTTAAGCCTTGTCTGACTCCCCAATATTGATCACCCCTTTTCACCCAAGGACAAGGGACATAGATTTATTATGCAAGGAATTTCATTACATCTTGTCATCTTAACAATTTGGTGAAATATTAATGTTAAATAGAGCGTCATATGTTTTATAGATGATTTTTTTAAAACACTGAGTTCTTTCAAAATACTACTTCTTGTATGATGTTTTGGCAAAAAATAATACTGTATTCGACGTAATAACCGCCCCGCTCTAATAAGCGCCCACAGCGATATTTGCTAATATATTGGCTAGTGAACAATCCCAAATAGCACCCCTTCCGATTGATCAATGTACACAAGCCTTATTTATTCGCATATGATATGCACTCGTGTGTTATATGCACCCTTAATTATGGGCAATTAAATTCTGGAAAATATATCTGTCTGACTTTTCTTTTGTATCATTTCAGGCTGTCACCATAAACCACGAAATTTACGAACTTTTTTTTCTCTCACCAAAATTATATTCTAATAAGAGGCCCCTATTTCTAATTTTGAGATTGCCCTCTGCGCTTATAACGTTGAATACGGTAAATGTAAATTTGGATTATTTATCCTCTTTTTTCAATTTGGAAGGAAATAGGGTCAGCAGAATCTGTGTTCCAATAAATAAATAAAAATGGCCTGATAAGGTTACAAGTGCATGTCTTGTCCATAAAATACAGTGGCTGAGGATGAAATGAGGAACTCTTCATGATTCCGTGAAGGATGTTTATTATGAAGTAGGTAGACTTATCCCGAGAGATCATTATCACAAATGACTATGTTTCTTTTTAGGCTGAATTCACAGTTGAAAGCGATATTTTTTTTATTATTTGATGTAATAGAATTGAAGAAAAAGCTGGTCCATGTAGGAAGCTAATATCTACATGCTCCTTGAGACGGTGTCACCCGCAGTGTGTGAATGTTGCTATACGATAACTGGTTTAGAATATCTCTTTACAAAGGCATCCATGCAGATTTGATCCATCTGATATTGATTTTAAAAATTTTTAGCATCTGAGAAGTGCTCTCAATTCACTGAAGGGATGTGGTCCATAAATTGGAACCACAGATTTTGTATTGTTGACGTCAAAGCCTACAAATTTGATAAGCAACACACCATGACTGGTGGCAGCCATTTTGAATTACCAGAGGAAAAGCTGGTGATTTACTGAATTGATTTTCACTGATGGATGTCAGCTTGTGTGACAAGTCTGCTTCCCCAGTTCTGTGAGAATTCAAAAACAATCTTGGCTATTGGATGGTCATGACACAGGTCCTGAATATCCACGAGTCCTTCAGGATTCATGCACTGAGCCCTCCATTATTCAGTGTGTCCTCACTTACGTAATTCGTTCTCATTTATCCTTTTTGTCATGGATCAGACATAAATATTTTTGTGTGTGAATCTGGTGGATTCTCAAGGCATGTCTGTCTGTTTGTTCAATATGCTGGAAGAGAAAGTGTTATAGCCGAGTTTTGGCCTACTTTTAATCTGATATCCACCTACTCTACCCTGCTGTCTGAGAAGGCAGGGTCACAGCCTGGTTGCTTTCCTTTCCTGATGAATATTTTCTCCCCAAACAAAGTTTCTGCTGTGAGTGTCTGAGCGTGTAAGAACAGGCAAACCCAGGTGAGATGGGATGATACTTGTAAACGAGTTAAATTGTTGCCTTTCTCCTCCTTGTCTGCAGAAGGGGAGAACAGGTGGCCTAGTGGTCTATTTTAGGCACCACAACTGGTCTCCATTGGTGAGTCCAGGATCTGCTTACCATGAGTTTGAATCTCTGGTTACCCTTATTATTATCATTGAACTGTCAACCCCATCAATCTACGACCTTCATCACTCCTGCATTAAGATGAAGTACCTAAATACAACTAACATCCCCTGTGAAACGTAGGTCCCCAGCAACCTATGCCGGTTGTAACAGGCGACTAAATGGATCGGGTTATCAGGCTGAGTGACTTCGTTGATTGCATGTCATTGTACCCGGATGGTGTAATTCATTGCACACAATATCAATCACTGGATCGTCTGGTCTAGGGTCAGTTAGTTACAAGCTGCTGTCATGTAGCTGTAATATTGCTGATTGCAGCACTTAACGAACTTTGAATTACATGTAGCTTTACTTGAGAGCACGGGGCGGTCGGGTAGCCTAGTGGTTAAAGCGTTTGTTTGTCACACCGAAGACCCGGGTTCGATTCCCGACATGGGTACAATGTGGGAAGCCCATTTATGGTGTCCCCCGCCGGTGATATTGCTGGAATATTGCTAAAAGCGGCGTAAAACCATACTCACTCACTCACTCACTTGAGAGCACACAAAACACCAAGCTTCTGAGGATACATTAGGATTTCAAGAAGACTGTCAATAACTGGGACTGAAGTAAGAACATGTGCCCTTTAAAGTCTTGTTCAGAAGGAAGTAACCTGTAATCTTATAGAATTTACAAGCACTCTGCTGTTTGACCTTTTCTGTTTCACTATCTAATCTCCAAGAAGTCCCTTGTGAGAAAGTTCTGTCAAGATCACATTTCAATGTATTGAATATATCAGGAGTGGGGATGAGTTGTTTCATTTTTGTTCATTGGCTGTAGTAATAAGAAATACTTTAATTAACACAAGGCTAACACAGATGTCTTTTTGTCCTTTGATTTCAGAGTGGAATAAGTTGCCAGATAGCTAGTTGTAATGATCCATTCATATAATTTTAACCGTTATTTTGTGTTTTACACCCTATGACATCTGTTTGGGCAGATAATCAAGCATGGTTATTCTTTGCCGTTGACGTTTTATGTTTCCAAATAGCAAAGCCTAACTTTATATTTGCTGATTGTGTGACACTGATGGACTGATTCTCACACTATCA